TCGGATGTTTTGTTATTTGGCTTTGGGGAAGAGATGAGTGTTATTCTTTTGGCCTGAGGAAACTTTCGTACTTAATGATCAGCCAAATGGATAAATGATCAAAGCAGCTTTGTGTAGACAGGAAGCATATTTCATTCATTTACTTCAACATCTCATCTCTCTTGGGTGGGGAAAGACTATAAAAGACATCTGTAGGCTGGTCCAAATTGTATTCTTTTGTGCAAGGCTGGATGTAGAGTAGACATTTCTCTGGAGAGTCATCCTGGCTTAGGCCCAGACCATCAGGGAAATTGCCTCTGTGCACTGCAGATCCATGCACACATGGGGCCCATTCCTGGGTCTGGGATTGTGTGACATGGCAGACCGTGTGACTCTAACACTTGTTCAGTGTGGTCTGCTGGAGTGGAGTCAAGGGATCACTTTATCTCTTAAATAGAGCAAATTGAAGTGAAAATTACCTTCTGATTGAGCAGCATTGCTGAAGAAAATCAATAGAAATGGCCCAAGATCCACTGGCACCCTCTCAATTTTAAGTGTTTCAGACTTTCAAATTACTGGAACTTTGGGTTTCAGGATTCAGACTCTTCAAGGCCAGCTGAAAATAAACAACAGAGTGGGTTAAAGGAGAAGTAGCATGTCTGTGCAATCCCAGATTCAAGAGAAAATATGTGCTGGCCGAAAGTAAGTAATTTTTCAACCTCAAAATATCTTTTCCAAATTCTAAGATTCTGTGTTTGACATGTTTAAGAGAGAAATATAACAGCTGAAATTGTCTTTGTTCAGAATGTAGGAGAGTTTTGTCTAGACTTTCAGGAAAGATATAGAATGACATTTTCAGAACAAATTAAAATATATTTTTAAATTCCTTTCTTCCTCTTCAGGAAGAGGATTTGACATGCTTCTATGGTTTGAATTTGATTGATCTTAATTGGCCTGGATAGTTTAATGTGAAAAGAGAGTAAAATGAACCATTGAGAAAAGTTGTNTTAATTGGCCTGGATAGTTTAATGTGAAAAGAGAGTAAAATGAACCATTGAGAAAAGTTGTTGAAAATGCTTTAGTTCACTTAATAATAAAATTGCCACCACTAACAACTCCATAACTAATATTGAGTGGTTTCTAAATATGTACTAAGCTCTTGACATACATTTTCTGACTTAGTCTTCACAGCAACCCCACGAGGTAGGTATTATTGCTATTATGCCAATTTTCCAATGAAGAAACTGAGGCACAGAGAGTTGAGGTGACTCGCCCAAAGCCACAAAGCCGTAGGTGGCCAAGCAAAGACCTTGTCTGACTGAGCCCCAAAATATGCCCTCCTCACCACTGTGCCGTGTTTTCTTTCTCCACAGAGCCAGCATCGTACAGAAACGCATTATTTATTTTCAAGATGAGGGCTCGCTGACCAGGAAACTTTGTGAACAAGGTAAGACCACGCAGGTGGGGAGGGACGGTAAATGCAAGGAGGCTCATTACTGAGTATAAGCATCCTGGTGCAGGAATTAGGGAGACTGGGCTTTCTGAGTTCCTCTGGGTTCTATTTCCTCACGGAGCTGCAATTTTTAATCTGGCTGTGTGCTGTGGATAATTGGATCTGCCTTAAGCTCTAATTACTCAGCTTTATTCCCTGGGTAGGAGATAATGTACCTTATATTGGTGTCGTCTTATTTTTGTGAAACAGTGATTATTCTGAAGAGGTTCCTTGGAATAATTCACAGGACTTAATTAAGGAATGCACAATTGTGTACCTTTAAAAAGTCTATAATGGTTCTTTGGAAAAATCACCAGCAGGAGCTTCTCTGGCATCCGGACAATATAAGGGGATTTTCTCCTGGGAAGATAAGCAGGGGATGGAGGTGCCAGGAGGCATTGACCTTGTGATTTTACCACATTCAGGGCTCTGGTCCTTAGATTTTCAAGCTCATCAACCCCCTCTTTGTGAGTTGAAGGCATTCTAACACACTCATGGAGACCAAGTAGAGTGGGGAAGTGAATGCAGAGGCTTTGATTCAGATGAGATCCAGATTTGAATCTGCCTCTACCCTTCTTCACCATGTGACTTAAATATGTAAAATAGTACAGTGCCTCTTTGGCACATAGTAAATGCTATTTATATAAGCNGTCCCACCCTCCTCCTTCAGACTGATTAGAAATCCTGGAGCATCATTCTTCATTTGGAAAAAGCAAAACAGAAACAAACAGAAAATTTTCTCTTATTGGTGTTTGTGCAGACCTGTCCAGAGAAGGTCTTCCGTGGAATGATTTGGGTAGAGATTAAAGGCATGGGCTATGGACCCAGGAAGACCTGGGCTCAAGCTCTGCCTGCACTACTCATTAACCCTGTGACCTTGAGCAGGTTACCAAACCTGCCCCAGTTTACTGATCTGTAAAAGTGGGGATAAACAAAGTACTTACCTCCTAGGATTGTTAGGATTAAATGAGACAATACATGGAAAAGGATCAACACATACAAAGACTCAGTACACCGTAGTTGTTATTACAACATTCCATACTTCGTCTGCATCCTAGAACCCAGAATGCACTTCTACCCATCACTGATTTTTCATATTCAAACTGAATGAACCCAATGAATTCCAAAAGGAAGACTTGTAAAATGTTCTTCCTGACACCCAAAATGACTTTTATACTCTTTGTTGCTGCTCTTTGTATAATGTTTGAGAGTAAATGTCCAACTTCCGAAAACCAACATTTATGTTAATCCTGCTAGGGGGACTGAAGTAAAAGCAATTGAAGTGAGTTGCCTCTGTAGTCATTGTTTTTGTCTTGCAGGAAGCAGAACAAACTGAAAGCAACAATGCACAGTTAGGATGTGGATTTGACAGTCAAAAATACTGAATTTATTCATGTTCCCTCTCAACACTCACCAGCTATTCACAGCTAAAAATGGGGGCTGAGGAGGAAACTGGCTAAGTTGTTCCTGGCTGCTTGTATATCCAGAAGTAAACCTGAACTTATGACCAATAATTTATTCATGTTCCCTCTCAACACTCACCAGCTATTCACAGCTAAAAATGGGGGCTGAGGGGGAAACTGGCTAAGTTGTTCCTGGCTGCTTGTATACCCAGAAGTAAACCTGAACTTATGAACAACGTATTTCCAAACCCCTACCCATCCTAGTAAAGTCTCTGAAAGCATGATAAGTGATGGGACTATTCATGCACGTCTTTTTTTTTTTTTTTTTTTAATAT